TCCTGAGCATCTTCAGAGCCTCCCTCTGTGGATTGCCTGGGTCAGAAGGCTGCAGTCCTCCTCTGCCCAAGTTATGCAATCAACTGCAGGACAACCAGATGCATGGGGAGCAGCTGTCATCTGTTACAAACCCATGCAGCCCAAGCCTTGCAAATAAAGGACACTGTAGGATGAGAAAAGAGAGAATTTTAAAATTTATTTTCAGCAGTGTGTTTGTAAGCAATGGAAGTACAAGCAAAGCCCATTACAGGATTTTCAGGTTGATTCCTTTGGGATTTAGATTTAGGGTTTATGGAAAAAGGCTCAATTAACACATGACCAGAAAACAGATCAGAGTTTGGGGAACAGAGTCAGGGTGATGGAGGTTCTAACATGAACACAAAACTTCCTGAGCTGGTTTCTAAAGAGGCTGATGTTGTTTCATGACTTCCACACTGATGCTCATTCAGCCCAGTGTTCCCAGAAGGCCACAGCTGAGAAGTCAGATGTGAGATGGTCTGAGGTCACTGACCTGGTGGGTATGGAGCTTGGGGCTCAGGTCAGCATGGCAGCAGTGGGCTGGTCTGGGCTGCTTACCTGTGAGTTTGGGAAGAGGAAGAGGGCATAGGTGGCCAGGCCTCTGGGGACTCAGCCCAACTACTGGAAGTGCCCATGGAGGATGAGTTACCTTGTTCCTTTCCTTGTCTGAGAGGTGAAGGGGTGCTGGGGTGCTGAAGTGAGGTGAGGATGGCAAAGATGAGACTGTGGAACCCAGAGGGTAGCATGAAACCAAAGGACACATCCCCACCATCACGGAGGGAAGAGCGTAGACTCCTCAAAAATGCCCCAGGTAGCTCTTAGAGGGCAATGCTGACTATAAGCTACAGAGAGATACTTTATTCCACAGCCAGAGCCTGGCCTCTGGCTGTACTGTAATTCATGGTCACTAGCCATGGAAAGACCTGTTCCCAAACCTAGCCCAGGAATCTGTGAAAATACCTTCCTTGTGTCTTCTGCCCGAACCCCAGAGCCCAATAGGATCTGGTTCCCAGTCAGCTCAAGAAGCCTTCAACTCCTCCAGGTATTCTGAACAAGTAGACCACCTCACCCTCCTGTCACATTGCCACACAGACACCTGTACTCTACAGGCCTGGCTTCCTCACACCTGAGTTTAAAGACAGGCCTTGTGCCAGGCTCTGCAGGAGACCAAGGTTGACTCCAAGGCTGGCTCCAGGCCTCTACTCTCACAGGGTCCTCAGGTAATACAGGGCACAGCCTAGGACAAGTATCTTGACTCCTCAAGCTTGGGTCTCTGCTGTATGAGTGAGCTCTTCAAGGGCCGAGTCTCTGTCTTTCACTCAGTTCACAGATGTTTTCAACAGATATTTTAAAAATATTTATCTATGTGGCTTTTGGGGAAGAGAATTAAATTCTTTGGGGAATTTCTCACTTGCACACCTGGATTCACCATAGTTGTAGAAATGAGGCACCTTAGCTACAAGACCTCCCCCATAAACCTCCCTCTTCTGGGATCAGGGTAACTGCAGGCAATTTGGAGTCTGTGGTGGGACACTGAATGGAATGCTTCAGTTTGAGTTTTGTGGTCTTCATTTATGTGGTCTGTACCCCTACTGTGCCCAGCCATCTAGGGCAGTTTCCCAGACTTCTCCTGCCCACTCTGCTAGGCACCCCGAGGTTACAGTACAGTTTCAGCCCTGGTAGGCCCTGACTGTGTCTGGCTGAGCCTGGCACCAGAAGTACAGGAGCACAGGAGCTGCCCTAGCAGCTGGAGAGATGGAGCCTGAGTAGGTTTTCCTGCAAGCAGCACAGTGTCGGCAGCCAGCTAGTCATAAAGACTAGGTTCCTGTATCGTGATATCATGGCCTAATGGGTTCTTAAATCTTGAAGTCGGTTATGATTTCTCACTCTACTTTGAAATAGTTTTCTTTCTCCTCTTCTTTTTCTTAAAGAATCCCTGTTTGATCACCTAAAGTACGAACATGGGGACCCCACATGGGCCTCCCAATGCACTCACCCTGCAGATGCTGTCTCAGGCACCAGGCATGGAGCAGGGAGCAGAAAAGACCAGCCCAGCCCTCTGTCAGCTAGCATTGACCCAACTTCACCCTAGAAGAGTCCAAGTTTCAGGGAGATCCAGCCTGGTCCCCACAGCAGCTCTGGGCTTCTAGATAGGCTTCAGAACTCCTTGAGACAGGGATAGAATATTCTCTGGTGTTGGATTCTGCTTTGTGCAGGGCAGGAAAATAAGAAGGCCTCTCTCCAGGCTTCAGCAGCAAGTCTGAGCTGGCATCCCACAGCCTAAGCTACGAAGCAGCTCCCTTGACCTATACCATGGCCTGAGATGTGACACTGTCGACTGAATGCTCATGTTGAATGTACACGCTGGAACCTTGTCCCAGTGTGGTGGTATTAGCAGGTGGGGCCTTTGATAAGTGGTGAGATCATGAATAGGAAAGAAGCCTAAGGAAACTGCCCACCCATGATGTACAAGGACACTGTGAGTCACCCACTGTGAAGCAGAGACAGCGCCCTCATCAGACACCAAATCTCTAACTCTCTTGACATTAAAACTTCCAGCTTCCAAAACTAAGTAATAAATGTGTGTTGTTTATAAGCTGATCAACCTGTGGTGTTTTGTTATGGAGCTCAGGTGGTCTAAGACAATGGCCTTCTGTGTTTCTTTGCAAATACTCAACTTTAAAACACAAGGATTTCTAGCCCGTAAAATTACTCAATTAATCACTTCTGTCCAGCAGGGATGGTACTTCAGCTTGCTGATTAGAATGTAGGGTCAGCCCCCTGGGGCAAGTAGAATCTCCTAGAAGGCAGTCAGGCATTATGAAGGCCCCAAAGGCCAGTGCATGGGGTAGGACAGGTGCAAAATATGAAGCACAGGTATAGAAAAGGAATCTGGAGATGAAAGAGCTGTACTCATCTATATCTTTAAAAAACAAGGTTGAGGCCTGCTGTGGGGGAGATGGGCCAGATCAGTGCTCCTCCCACCTACCTTTCCCAGGTGAACTTCATATTTTCAGTCCTTTGATTCCAAGATTTTGAATCTCAATACTTTACTTCTCCTCCCAAAGCCAAACTCTTGCCAGGAAGCCCTTAGTTTGCAAGATATTAAGTGCTGAATATTCAAGAACCCATTTTAGAATCAAGGCTAAGAGTTTGACTTTGCTTTTTTGTTTCTGAATAGCCTCTGAGAGTAGAAAAAAATATCACTAATAAAAATGATCAGTTAATTTGTCAAAAATTGCCTTACCATCTTATGATAAACGTGTCTGTTAAGGCTCAGGAACTGCTCAGCAATGGAGACTAGATAAGTGAATAAAAGGTCCAGTGCAGTGACACAGGCCTATGATCCCAGCTACTCAGGAGGTTAAAGCAAAAAAATCACAAATTCAAGGCTAGGCTGGGCAATTTAGTGAGATCCTGTCTTAAAATAGAAAATATAAAGGGCTGGGAAAGTAGCTCGGTACAAAGGCCCTGGATTCAATCTCCAGCACCACAGAAACATAAAAATAAAATTATAAGAGAAGCTAGGAATGTAGCTCAAGGTAGTGTGTCCCTGGGTTTGAAAAATATGGAGAAACCAAGCTCTCTGCACTGCAGACTGTACAACCATCTCCCAGGTATGGCTTTACTTGCATGAGTAATAAGACTGTTTCTGAGCATTGGTTTATTTTTCTTACAGAACACCAGGAACGTTCTTGAAAGACACCTGGAGTTTCTTTTAACCAGGAATAGAACACTGTGGTGAGGAAGAGGTTTGCTCTCTAGAAGCAGGAGGCCCCTCAGCCAGGCCAAGAGGAAGTGCAAGGCAACCGGGGCAGGGGGAGGGCCCTGCGGATGGGAGTCTGTGCTGTGGTTTCCATGGAAGGAATGGTGTGGTAGGCAGCAGGCTGGTGATTTGCCAATTTGAGTTCCCCAAGCAGGTGTACCTGGTTCAGGGTGACGAGGAGGGGTGTACAGTGGTCTAGGTGACAGTCAGGAGGAGTGTGTCCTTTGCTCTCTCTAAGAATTGGTAGCAAAAAGGGCATCTTCTAGGGACAGTAAGCCTCCAACATGTCCAAACACTAGAACAACAACAACAGTAAAAAAATCAGTACAAAAATATGCTTTCTGGTATTTGTCGCTTAACACAAGCTGTCCGTAAGCGCAGAACCAAATGTGGCACCCACCTTACCTCAAGACATGTGTCTCATGCTTGGTCCATCTCAGCTTTTAACCCTACCGTACCAGACTCCACTTGTTTATATGTCATTTTTTTTTATCACTTTGTCTAAACGATCCTAAATCCTTTCTAGGTTAAGACTGTGTGGGGTGAAAGCATAGGACCTGTGTATTGGGAAGGAGCACTCACAACAGTTTTATAAGAGCAGTTGTAAACCCCACAGCACCATGTCCTATGAGAGAACTCATGACAGCCTATCATGAGGCGTGTGGCTGGTTGTGCCCATGGCCTCACATAAAGAGGCCCATGTTGTGCACTGGAGTCAAAATGACCCTGTCATGGAGTTCAGTAGAATTTGGAGATGAAGAGGGCTTCTCCTCCTGCAGCACTCTTTGGTGCAATGGTCAGCAGCTGTTTAGTCTCCTACAGCAAGTGCCACAGACCATGGCTCATAGACAACAGACATTTATTTCTGACAGTGTTGGAGGTCTGACATCCAGGATCAAAGGTACCAGGTTCCGCATGTGAGGATCCCCCTCTGATCTGCAGGCTGCATCTTCTCGCTGCACCTCACACCATGCAAAGACAGCAACACTCCTGCTCCTTCCGCAGGCACCAGCCCAGGGCTCAGGCTGTCCCCCTGCCCAACCTGGTCATGTCCCAAAGGGCCCCCAGCACATCACCTGGGGCTTAGCTTTCAGCATATGCATCTGAGGGGACACAAACATCCAGCCCAAAGCATGTGCTATAGCAAGGGAACAATCAGGGACAACTATTCTGGAAGAAAATAGTTTATTTGCAAAAAGGAGTGAGGAAGCCAGACTTCAGTTAAAAAAAACCCAGGTCATCCAAAACTTTATTTTTGTTTTGAAGATCATTGGTACTGTTTTTGAAAGCCTAATAAATAACACAACAGTATGTAAAGCTTTTTTTTAAAGCAAATAGTAACAAAATATTTAAACAAACAAAAAACTGCCTCACGTAATTATGCACAGTACTACATTACTTCCAAAATCAGAGACAAGGCTGCATCTATCAGAGTCCGGGTTCACAGGAAAAGCTCAAGATTGTGTTATTTGTGGACCAGCACTAGACAGAGTGACTGTTGTTTCTGTTTCATGTGAAGGTACAAAATGTTTTTCCTGTTTGTGATCAGCACACGTGGATGATAGCGCTCAGCCTTGTGCTGGTTTCCATGCGATGAATCACTTGTTTACATCTTTACCCACTTTTCTCCTCATAAAAGTAGCATTTCAGGCCCAAATCAAAACCAAAATCATACCACTCCTACGGGCACAGTTTTCTTCTGCTCAGATCAGGATGTTCGTGGGGATGCAAAGAAATGTGGCTGTGAAGACATCATTGAAGTAGGCTCGGTTCACATAGAAGAGGCCAAATTCAGAGGTTGCTAAACTCTTTTCCCTCCTTCCCTGTGCTTGCCCCGAGACAAACGAATCACTGTATCTGCTGATCATCATGCGACAGTAGAGCATTTGTAGCCTTCCCTCCCAGTGCCTGTGACTCTTCATCGCTACAGAATCTGGGCTCGGAGCAGAGGATGACCTTGGCTTTCACCTCTGTACCAGGGACTTTGAACTCACACCAGAGGCAGCTTCTACAGGTTTCATCTTTTTTTTTTTTTTTAATAGGTATCAGGGATCGAACTCACGATCGCATGCTTGCAAAGCAGGCGCTTATGCCACTGAGCTAAATCCCCAGCCCAGCTTTCATTTTTTATCACCTTGAATAAATGCACTTAAGTTCTTTCTAGAACATAACTGTGAGGTGAAAGTGAGATGGGATTTTGTTTGCAAAACAAAATCTGCCTTACCAAGAAAATTAATAAAGGAATTAAAATCTCCTAAAGACTCAGAGCAAAGCCAGATGTGGTGGCACATGCCTCTAATCCTAGCACTCTGAGAGGCTGAGTCAGGAGAATCCCAAGTTGGAACCCAGCCTGGAAAACTTAGTAAGACCTTGCCCCAAAATTTAACAATACAAAACAAAACACAGCCTTGAGGATGTAGCTCTGTGTACAAGTTTGGGGTTCCATTCCAAGTAACACACAAATTCCAAAAATAGTAACAATTTAAAAAACACCAACCCAAGACCTCATGCCATGACACACGTACTTGCAACACTGAAGTCCTCAAAGCATGCTGAAATCTACGCTTATTCTAGTATCTGTGCATCCGCTAAGGAACATGGGTCTCCTGGCCCTTTCCTGGGGGAAGAGTTAGTAGCAGTAAGGGCCCCAACAGTAAGGGTGGGCAGGATGTGGAGCTGCCTGGCTCTCAGACCGCTGGCTTCCATCCGGTGAATTTTTTTGCAGGGAGAATACTGGGGATTAAACACAGAACCTTCACATTGTGCTACATCCCTAGCCCTTTTTATATCAGTGAAACAAGGTCTTACTAAGTCACTAAATTGCCCCTGCAAGGCTCAAACTTTCGATCTTCCTGCCTCAGCCTCCCAAAGATCTAGGATTACAGCCATATACCACTGTATGCCCAGCCCAGGTGAAAATCTTGTGAGTCACTTGTTCACCTTGTCCATAGATTGTCAGTTCTCCTCTCCTTGATCATGCGAGCAAAATCCCCTTGGCCATATCTGTGACATTGTTCCTCAGGCCAGGGACAGATCCTTGACTCCAGACAGATTATCTTGCTCCTGGGACTACACAAAGAGAGGTATGCTTTGAAACAGTCAGACCTGCAAGTGCAAGTTTGGAGCTGAGGGCATCTGTTCTTTAAGGGAAGCAGGGGAACCAGAAAACCACCTGCTTGAAGCGAAGGACAAAGCCAGTGTTCCAAGAGGAGGGCACCAGCCACAGGGAGGGCCAAGCCTCTGCATCCGCCCAGCCCTCCTGAGGCCACTGCACCTCCTTACCTCAGCATGGGCCAGCTGGCTGCTTCTCACTTGCCACCATGTCTCTTAGTGCAGCCAAATACTTCTAAATGCTATTTTGATTGCCAAAAGCATTCTCCATCATCCAAAGGCGTTTATTCATTTCTTAGAACACAATCAAGAATGCTAATTTTTTTGGAATTGGAAACAAATGAAATAGTTGAGTGTATGTCCTTGGTGTTAAGCCAGACTTCAATTCAAGCTCTGGCTCTGCACTTAGTACTTGCTTATACAAAAGCAGTTTTTGGACCTCCCTTAGCTTCGTCTTTCCATATACAATGTGGGACAGTCACACTGACCCCATGGGCTACCTATCATCACTATGCATATGGAAAGACATTCACTGCCACCTCACTTATCTCTGACAAAGTTAGAGAAACAGGGTTCCATTTATTTATTTGTATCTATTTGTACTGGAAAAATTCAGATGTAAACAGCAAAAATCAGCTCTCTAGGTGATTTTCTTTCTTTTTTCTTTTTGCTCTATTTTCTATTTTCCACGGCAACAACAAAACCTCACATATCATCTGTATTAAAGAAATTAAGGGACACACATGCCTGAAATCTTTTTGCTAAAGAGTGCTACATTTGTCATCCTTGAAGTCAGACATGACATTAGGTATCATTTCATTTAAATACTTCTGTTTAAAACAGACTACAAAGTTGATTACAAAGACATTTCAAGAATGCGGTTTACCTTGATCTGCATCAAGGTAAATTGAAAGGCATCGATGTGTCTGAGGGATAAAGCATGAGAGTAGAGATGGGCAGTGGGGGGACAGATGCTGGCAGGGACTCCAATAGCACGTGTAGGTGTTCGTGCACCATCCTCCACGGATTTCTGTATTCTCAAGACTTTTTATACCAAAACGTCAGGAAAGCTCATGAATCCATTCAGGAATGGAGGGCAGAAATGGAGAAGTAAAAGTTCATGTGCATGCACACAACTCTAGTGGTGACCCCACAGGTAACCACCCTCCTGTCTCACATTTTCATTGAGACCAAAAGGTTATTTCTCACCAGCATCCCAGCAAATTGAGGGGGGCTTGGCCTCCTGGTCTGTGTCCATGTTCTCTTCCTGTCACCTGGACTGTGAACACCTGATATTCCTCCTTACCATTCCAACCAGACATCCCAAGGTAGCAAAGGTCAGGGAGTGCCCTCAGGCAGATACTCGAGGGAAGAAAATTCATTGTCCCCAGTAACTAGAACTTTTCTTGCCAGCATAAATTCAAAAATAGACTCCAACCACAAATGTGTACCTGCACGCAGCCGATAACATGAGGAACAGCAAATATGCTTGGCTTTGCATTCTGCAAAAAGCTTCCTCATGATCATGAACCATGGTCATGAACACACAGTCAGAAGCTACAAATGGGCACCTCACAAAAGAAGACATCACCAGTGAGCATATTATTCACACACCCCACCAAAGTAAAATTCAACCTTTCTAGTAAACAAGAAACACATATAGAGCCAGAAGTTAAATTCTTTTTCACCCATCAAATTTCTAAAGGTTGAAAAAATGCTAATGACAGACAAGGGTTAGAAAGGGTCCATTTGACTCTCCCCACCACACCCACTCGCTCTTTCCAGTTTTTTACTGTTCTTCTGTTTCTCTGCAGCCCGCGGTTGGCAGCTTACCTTGCTTGCTTCAGTCTCTATGTTCTAGTTCCAGCTCACTCCACAGCCAGGGAAATTCATCTACCTGGGAAGATATCAGACACATACTAGGCGCACTTGGAGAATTACATGGACAGGAGTTAATTCTGCAGGAATTAGCGCAAGCATTATTTCCCACTGGAAACCTGGTCTAGAAAAAGCTCAGCTGATGACCTGAGCAACGCTTCCTTCAAGTAAAAACACAGAGGCTTTCTGCTCTGCTGCCACATTCCAAGCAAAAACGGCCATTATTATTTTAAAAAGGGGGGGGTGGATCTGGGCATGATGGTGCACTCCTGTCATCCCAGCACTAGGGAGGTTGAGGCAGGAAGATCGTTGCAAGTTTAAGACCCGTCTGTGCTGCAGAATAAGCTGAAGCCCAGCCTGAAGTACACAGTAAGACTCTGTCTCAAAAAGACAAAAAACAAACAAACAAAATAAAAAGGAGTTGGAAAGAAAATAAGATGTGGCTATAGGTTCCCATATGCTCCCCTTTGGGCAACACTTTATTGCAAAGCCCCAGTGAGGACATTTGTCAAACTACTCAGGAGTCCTGAGGGTACACAGGGCAGGGCAGCAGCAGAGGAAAATGCTGTGCTCTGGAGCTGCTGACCGACAGCTCCAGGCCAACAGGTGTGCAGTGCCTCCAATTTAGATATCACACACACACACACACACACACACACACACACACACACGAGATCTTAAGTTGCAGAGTGTGTCAAAGCAGGCATATTGTTTTACTCAGTTATCCACTGATTTCACTAACTTTTAGTGGCCGCCTGTTTGTCCCAGACACTGGCTATGCAAAGATGCACTTGTCCCTTCCCTGAGAACCTGCGCTCCAGGGAAAGAAACAGAACAAACCAGAAGAGAAAAGGAAAATAACACACGCTACAAAGCCACGACAGGGCTTGTCCAGGAGAGCCCCAGAAGCAGCCACATCCTGGATCCTCTGTGTCTTGAAACTGACTTCTGGGTCTCTCTAATCCTGAGTGCTGGCCCCTGATTCCTAGGGGGTGAGTGATTCCTAGAGACCTGTAGGGATTGCACCCTCCCTAGGCACCCAGCCACCCCAGAGTCCTCACCTACCACCTCCTCCAGAAGCTCATATACCTAGAGCCACTGTTCCCTGTTCTCCTCTCCTAGGCCAGGCAACTGAAGTCTGCCCCATGCCCCAGGGCGCTGAAGCCACTCAAACTAACTGATTCCCAGACCACTTCCTGCTGTACTGTTTCTTCCACGGAAGCCATAGGACAGACCCTTATCAACAATGCCTTCCCTCTGTCTTATAACTGCCATGTGCTTCACTGTGGCCTGCCAGGTCCCCTGCATCCAGGGCTCCATGAGAGCCAATCTCTTCCTTGTGACACTTCTGGGCCTGTCTTCATCCTGATTCAAATGAACCCCAGTTGCCCATTGTCTTGGTTACTTTTCTCTCATTGCTGAAACAAAATACCCAGCACCAAAAATGAAAGACGAAAAGATTTATTTAGCTCACAGTTTATAAAGGTTTCAGCCCATACTCGGTTGGCTCCAAGGCAGAGTGGCACATGGCAGAGAGCAACAGTTCATGGCAACAGAGGACAGCAAAAGCGGCAAGATCAAAAAAGTCAAAGCACAGAGAAGACTCTTTCTGCCCCTTGCACTGTGTGTAGGCTACCAACCCTAGGGTAGGTTTAGCTCTTCCCCTCCTAATCCCAGCACTGGACCATGAATCAGTCACAAACTCTAGAAACCTGCCCCCATGACTGCAAGAGACTTTCAGGGCACATCCAGACACAAACCATAACACCCACATAATAGCCTCTCTGCATATGAGGCTTCAGTTGATCTGGAGAAAAGACTATCATGCCAAGATATGAGGACAGGCCCAGGCAGAAGGTACAGTGAGAGACCACCATGCCAAGACAGGGGAACAGGTCTGAGCAGGGAGCACATTTCTGAGCAGAGAACACAGCATGTGCAAGACCTTTCGGGAGGAGAAGGGTTTGCTTTTCCAAGGGCCTGGAAGAGGCCCAGGGACAGCCACAGTGACCAGGGACAGCTACACACACACACACACACACACACACACACACACACACACACCACATCCTGCCATGTTCTGGTACAGTCATTTCCTATTACCTCTGACCCCAGATCTTGGCAACCACCTATCTGCTCTGTTTCTGTGAATGTCCCTATGTTTCTATGTTTTGGGTTTTTTGTTTGTTTGTTTGTTTTTTGTCGTGGTCTTTTTGAGACAGAGTCTCACTATGCAATTCAGGCTAAGTTTCAACTTACTTTGTAGCCCAGGCTGGCCTCAAACTTGCAGCAATACACCTGCCTCAGCCTCCCAAGTGCTGGGATTACCAGAGTGCACCACCACATCCAGTTTAGCCTATGTTTCTATGAATGTCCCTATTCTAGACATTTCAAACAAATGGAATCCTACAATATGTAATTTTTTGCATTTGGCTTCTTTCTCTTAGTGTTTTTGAGGTTCATCTATGCCTCAGGCATGAATCAGTGCTTTATTCTTTTTTATGGTAGAATAGCATTCTATATTCTTTTTTATGACTGGATAATATTCTATTGTACAGATAGGCACACTATTGATGGATATCATTTGGTTGTTTTCATCTTTTGGTTGTTGTGAATAGCACAGCCATGAACATGGGTGTGCACAAGTATCTGTCTAAGCCCTTACTCGCAGTTGTTATGGGTGCAAACCTAAGTGTGAAAATTCTGGGTCATACGGTGATTCTATGTTACTTTTTGAGGAGCTACAAAAATATTTTCCAAACACCCTTTAGATTCAATGTAGGAAATGATTTCCCCATATCCTCACCCTTACTTGTTATACTCCACTCCCCAGACACACATATCCTGGAAAGTATGACATGCCATCTTGTTGTGGTTTTGATTAACTTTTCCATAATGACTAGTGGTGTTTAGCATCATGTATTTACTGGCCATTTGCATACACTTTTTTTTTAAGAGAAAAGTTCAACACAAGAAGGCTGAAGGATCCTGGCATGGTGACATACTCCTATAATCCCAGCACTCAGGAGAAGGACCATTGCAAGTTCGAGACCAGCCTGGGCTACAAAGTGAGCCCAAGACCAGCCTGAACTGCATTTTGAGATCCTGTCTCAAAAAGACAAAAAGAAAAAGGAAGAAGAAGGAGGAGGAGGAGGAGGAGTAAAAGGAGAAGGAATAAAAGAAGGAGGAGGAGAAGGAGAGGGAAAGAGGAAGAAGGAAAAGAAGAAGAAAGGAAAGGGAGGAGGAGGAGGCTGAAGAGTCTACACTGGAAGCCAAAGAGTCTGTGTTGGAAGCCAGGAGACCACGTCCAAGGTGGAGGTGGAGACTGGCACTTCTTCAAAGACTCAGAAGCAGATTCACCCTTTCTTCATTTGCCCCTTGTACCATCCAGGTGACAAGCCACCCTAGGGTGGGCCTTCTACACCCCAGGGTAGAAGCTGATCCAGTTAGAGCTACTATCCATAGTGTGGAATTACTGAGTCAATGTAGTTAAGCTTCTCTTAACTAAACTTTTCAAGTTGACACAGTCATTCAATCATCACCATTTTAAAGTCTTAGTACATTTAAAATTGGGTAATTTTCTTTTATTGTTGAAATCTAAAGGTTATTTATTCTGAAAATAAATCTCATCAGACATACAATTTACAATATTTTCTCCCATCTGTGGGTGGTCTTTTCACCTTTTTAGTGGACTCTTTTGCAATAGTTTTTTGTTTTGTTTTGGTTTGGTTGTAAGGATTAGAACCCAGAGCCTTGTGTGCTCTATCCACTAAGATACTCCAGCCCCAGCAGTTTTTAATATTGGTGAACCTAGTTTGTCAATTTGTTCTTTCTTGCTTGTAGTTTTAGTGTCATATCCAAGAAATCCTTGCCGACTCAAAGGACACAGAGGTTTGCTGTTGTATCTTTTTCCAAGAGTTTTATACTTGTAGCTCTTACTTACATTTAGGTTCAGGATCAATTCTGAGACAACTTTCATACAAGGAGTAAATCCAACTTTAACCATTTGCTTATAGACAACCAGCTTCCCCCAAACCATTTGCTGAGCAGACTGTTTTTCCCCTCACAGAGTTGTGATATGTATATCACACTATGTAGTTCAGATTGCCCTTGACCCACATGCAGCCCAGGCTGATCTCAAACTCATGGACTCAGGGTGATCCTCCTGCCTCAGCCTCATGAGTACTGAGAATACAAGTGTGTGCCACTACTCCCAGCATCCTGATACTTTTGTGGAAGACCAGTTGACTGCCCATCCAGGATCACACATCTCAAAAGCCCATCTAGGTAGAGCCACTGTCCAGGGTAGGGCAATCAAGCTTCCAGCATCAGGTTACAGCATGTGAAACTCAAGTGCCAGCTACAAATCCTTGCCGCCAGGGGCGCTGTGGGGCTCCTGAGTGCTGGTACTAGAGCACTTTGCCAGTGTCATCTCATGGGATCCTCACAGCAAGGTCCGGCAAGCAGATATAGTCATTGTTTCCCATGAGGGAAATGGAGGCACAAGACACTCAGCTGGTAAGAAGGAGATCCAGGGTCAGACCCAGGGAGTTTGGCTCCCAAACACCATGGTTAGTGGAGGAGCTTAGTCTTGGACCTGCTGTCTCAAGCTCTCAAAAACGAGTACACTAAACCAGACACAGTGAGGCATGCCTGTAGTCCCAGCTATGCAGGAGGTATGAAGCCAGCCTGGGCAAGCAAGTGAGCTCCTGTCTTAAAATACAATTTGAAAAAGAGCTAAAAGTATAGCTCGATGATAGAGTGCTTGACTAGCATGCAAAGGCCCAGGCTCAGGTTCAGTCTTCTGTAGGGGTTCAGGGGGCTCAGGTTCAGTTCCCCCATCAAAAGACTACTATTTGTACAATGGAACAGTAATGTCAGCGTGACAAGCATGGGGTATCGGGTACAAGTGGTCATGTCAACACTGAAGTATAATAGCCCAAAGCTGGCCAACAGGGCCCAGCTTTCCAGTGTGCTCACAGAGCCCCTTAAAGGGTTTCACCGGGAGATACAGGCTGCCTGCAGCAAGGAGCATATTTATGGCTCAGTCCTAAACCAGCTATCATGCACAAAGAACAGAGTAGGCTTTCTAAGGGCTTCTGCAATCCCAGTAAAGGTTTTGCCTGTTACTGGAGAGGCTTGGAACATGTAAGGCCCACAGGCTCACAGCTGTGTGCACACAGACACTCTGGGCTGCACTGCTACAGGAAGCTGCCTTTTCTGGGATTCACTTTAATCCAGCAAGGAAAGTCAACCTATCCACAGGTTATTGTTGTAGGTGATATTCAGGAAACAGAGGTGCTCCAAGTAGCAAAGGCAGATAAGCATTGCCTTTCAAAGAGAATTCAGCGAGACTCTAAACAGAGAACATTAGGTTTGTCCCCATTGCCAAGAAGGTCGATGTAGACAGCATTTGATTCTGATGCAGAGGAGCCAGATCCTTGCATGAACATCCATGACAGTTATCCTGGGGTCCACAATGGCAATATGAATCCCAAAAGCAAATGTGCCCATTCCCTACATGGTTGCCGTTGCCCTCTGGAAGGTTTGGTCCAGGCCAAGAATGGGATAATCCACTAGAAAAGAGCCCTGTCCCAAGACACTCATGTTTACTTCCTATGGCTACTGTAACAAATTACCACAAACTCAGAGGCTTCAAAAAACAAACTTACCATGTCACTGGAGGTCAGAAATTTGAAGCAGGTCTCAAAGCAAGCTCTTGGTCAGGCTTTATTGTCCCTCAGAGGCCACGTGTGCTCCTGGTTCACAGACCCCTATGACCTCAGCTGCCACTATCATCCCCCCATGACTCTGACTTCTCCTCCTCTTAAAAGGATCTATTATTCCAGGCCTCTTTCCGTGCTCCAGGTCTGGTCCTCTGCAGGAGCATAGGCCAGCACCATGGCCTGTCCCACTCAGAAGAGGGAGCCCCAGGTACTAACAGAGCAGGACAGGGATTCCATTTGGCAGACACTCTGAGATGAGCACTTGGACTTGCTGAGGCTGTACAGTTAGAGAATGGTGGCCAAAGACAGAGAGGGCTGCAGCCCAGGAAAGGGGGCTGTCAGGAAGTTGGCGTGCCCTTGCTCCCCACTAGGGCTGGCTCTAGAGAGAGAGTACTGCTCTTCCTAAGTGTGTGTGGGGGGTGTCACTGAGTCTGTCTCTGTACAGTCACATGATGGCTGACAACAGAAAACAGGAGATCATTGTCCCCCGTGCAACCAGATGTCTCTGAGTCCTGTAGCTGCCTACAGTGGAGCTGAGCTGACTTCATCCCAGTTGTGGAAAACCCAGGACCCTTGTCCTATGCTTAGGACTAGAGCCTCTGTTTCCATGTTCACACTTGCCTCTGAGAAAGTGCAATGCCAAACTTACTTGATGCTACGGGTCTTTTAAAAATTATCCCAAAGAAGATCATTGTATTAGATTAGTTGGAGATATCAGCATGATCTCCTGGTTAACTGAACACAGGCAGACGGAGATGGGAGAAGGACCCAAAACAAGTAGCACACACCCAGGTCTCCCAGTTACCTGCCAAGAGTGCCCAGAAATGATCCCTGACCCGAATGCAGCAAGCACCTACTCCCCGTGGGTTGGCTTCTCAGCACTGTCCGCTGACACTGGGACTAGACTAAAGAAATGGTTGAGTCCAAGCAGAAAATGACAGCAGGAGCCTAGGGAACATGATGGTATCCAAAAGCAGGGAAGTGCTCTGTAACCAAAGGAACACAGGAGACGGCCCAAAAGAGCTGCTAATGACCAGATGTGCAGTAGTTTGAGCATAAGTAAAATAGTATTGACCTCAATATGTAAAGTAAATATGGATAAATACAGGAGATGCAGCCTATGTTTGAAAATATTGGGTGAAAAGGGGCAGGGCCCCTTGCAAGAATTTAAATGGTCATGTGACATTCCCTGCCCCTGAGGTGGAGTTTAATACCCAAACCTGGGCTCCAGAGGAAAGTATACAGAAAATGAAAAGGGTATCTTAGGTAGAGCCCTGGCAGACACCACTTTTACCAAGCCATGAGCTGGGCATCAGGAGAGATGTCATGGGCCAGCATCATGGGAATCAAGAAGGCACTTTGCCTTTCTAGTATTCCTAGTATTCTTTCCAGAAACCTGCAGTACCAGTCTGATTGTGGAAGAAACATCAGAGAAATCTGAATAGAGGAACAGTCTGTGAAGTACCCGACTGGGACTCCCCAAAACTGTCAAGGTCATAAAAAGACTCAGAAATGGCCACAGCCCAGAGGAGCATTGGAAATGAGGATGACCAGATGAACAAATGTGGTGCCTTGGATGGGACCTGGGAAAGAACATGTGTGTGGCAGATGGTCATGAGGTTGGGAGAACAGGAATATTTTACATCCTGAGTGGAGTGCTATGTGCCTCTGACCTTCTTCCCATCCAGTTTCAGGGATTGCAGAGGCTGAGAATGGTGGCCTTCCTTTGTGAGGCCCTTACCAGGGTACAGATAAGGAAAGGTCCACAGTGACTCCTCACAGGGTGTGGATGTGGCCCATAGCTGCCCTCCTCTGCAGTGAGGTCCCACAGGAAAAATCCCAGTTATGAAACCACCATTTCTAAGTCCAAGGTGCCCTCTCTGGGATTTTAGGATCAGCCTGGACCCACGAAGTATTCTTCAGGAGTTATTTATCAGGAGCCCTGGGTGTCACTGTGGGTACAAAGAAACTCTGGTGATAATACACATGCTCCCAACACAGATGAAACAAGGGTGCCTGGGACAGTGTTATGTGCAGGGACACAGAGGACGCTGCAAGCTTGGGCAGTTGCTACGCAGGCAGACCCCTCCCCATCTGCTGCAGTCTGCAAAGTCCTCACCAAGGCTCCCTCATATTTGCATGCAGCTCTGAAGCTGGAATAGATCACATGTGTAGGGGTGAAGCAAGCCCTGAGAGCAAAGAGCACCAGAGGCAAGCCTCATGAATGAGCTGCTACAATGCGGAGAACACAGAGCCCTGAGACAATCCAAGGAACAGGTTGCTAGGCAAAGGGGGTGTCATGTGATACCAATCTGCCAAATGTGTAAATAAATACCCTACAGTGGTTACACAGATCTTTTCCTGCCATCCTGAGTGAGGGCTTCGCCTGATCCCAGCTTTCTGTGTCGTCTTTATTTCTCCACCTTCTCACTGCCATTCACGGTCTTCCCCCTGGGAAGTTTGAGAGCCACGTGGATCACGGCACAACTCCCAGCTTCTTCACACAGTATCTGCACAGAGCAGGAGCACCCAGCCGGTTGACTGGTTTCCTGGGCCTGGCCCAGCAAGCACAAGGAATGCCCAGACTGTCCCTGTCAGCTCTGCCCTGGCTGACTGGTGCAGGCAGTGGGGCCTGGTTCCATAGACAGACACACCCTCTTGCACAATGCAGCCAGGGAAAGGGGTGGGAGTCCTCTTGCTCAGAGATCCCTGCCACTTTCCATTACCAATTCCTGCCACCCTCCCATCAGTCACTGTCACATAGTCAGGTGGGTGGAGCTGGTAGGTTGTACAGCCTCCCTGACCCATGGGTATGGGTTGAAGTGGGCTTCTCCAGGGGCAATACCTCCCAGTTTCCAAGGCAAACATTCTTGTTTGGGTTATAACATTAATCATCCTCATAGACACATTACATTATCAAGGACAGGAAGTAAATTAGCACAGCCAGCCAAGAACAAGTGAATTCATGGAACACAAAGAGCCACAGCAAGTGGGGGCAACTGGGCAAGACAGGCCCACGACTGAGGTCTCAAGAACAGCAGGAGACAGCCCCAAGAAACCTCTGCGTCTGATCAGAAGAGGCCCTCAGACTGGTGTTCCAGCCAGACTGAGGACCCCTGGCCACACTCCCCATACAGACAGGCCCCACCCTTCCAAGGCCCGCCAGACTGTAGAGTCCTAGTACCTAATAATACACACAAATCAGAAGGCAGCCTGCAGGCCCTGGCCATGCAAGGAGAGAGCTGATGCCTGCCCTGGCCTGTCCCTACTGGCCTTGCCCTAAAGCAGCAGGCTGCCCGGCCAACAGCACCTATATTGAGAGGATGAGCATGCTGGGCGGAATGGCAGGCATGTGCCCAGCTGTCTCAGTAAGCCCCGCCCAACTGCCCAGCAGAGAAGCCTCTCCCCATAACACCCCAGAGGAGCTGCCCAAGACCCAACAGTGTGCTCTAGTCTGTTTAGGACCAGGCAGATGTGTGTGGGGAGTAACAACAGCAAGAGCCAGATCCTAAGGAGGTCACCTGGAGGAGACAGAGTTAAGCTGTCCCCCATTGACTCCCACCCCCAGGTCTGCCTAACTTGGGAGAAGCAGTGACTCCCTGATACAACAGTATTGGTGACTGTGATCTGCCCTCAACCTCATTTTTTGACTGTTAAGTGGCGCCCTCTACTTTCCTCCTGACAGGCAGCTTCCAGAGGAAACACCTGACCTGCGGCCCTCACATGAATGGCAGAGATGTCATCTGCTGACCCTACTGTAATGCACTACATGGGCCCCTTCATAAGAGAAGCTTGAAGTCAAGAGAACATGACTCAGATGAGAGACTGGGGCCTGAAGGAAGTTCTCCTGCAAGTTAAAGGAAGACATCCTGCCACCAGGACAGGTACATGGCAAGTCAGAGCAGAGCACCTAAACCCTGAGGACAATGGGTGAGGAGCCTTAGTTCAGGCACCGGAGGCACCAAAGACATTTCTAGAAGGGCTGGGCTCCTGCCGTGGTGCCCAGATCAGTCTCAGGCCTGGCCCTTGAACTCGGGATAGCTGGGTCCCAAGGCTCAGCATGCAGGCTTGCCATGAGGAGCCCCACGACATTTCTGAATGTGGAGGCCCTACCTCTTCTCCATCAGAGTGCAGGCAGGGAGAGAACAACAGGGATGCCATCCTGGGAACACCGGCATACCTTGGCTCTGGCTGTCATCATTTCCAAAATCAGAAAGGACCTCCATGATCCCCGTTCACCTGACTGCCTTCGAGGAGAACATGAGACCCTAACCTGCCTCTTCTTAGCACCTCTAAGGGCCCAGGACCCATCTAAGCTGTACGCGCACTACAGTGCAGTGTGAAGAAGTGAATATCAGGACACAGCTGTGGTCTGACGTGGGTGTGTGTAGCCATTCAGCCTGGCAGGAGGACATGACATCCTTTCGGAGACTCCCAGACTTCTGAGTGAAGTTACTGAACCCCCACAGGGGCTCCAGGTTCTGAACAAAGACAGGGCTGAGCACTTCTTGCCCTTGAACTCTTCGACCCAGTGACCTTGGAAAGTCTTCTGTATCCATCACAGCCAAGAAGGGCCAATGCCTACTCCCTAGGAAGCTGTGGGGCAGTGCTGTTAGACATACCAAGGAGTGGGCTGTCCCTGCCAGAGCATTTTGCAGCTCACATCAACCCTGAGTTCCCTTGGCTACTATATTTCTCCACCCCATAAGGCTGGGCATGGAACCCTCTTTGCAGTTAGGGAGACCAATAACCACTCACCAAATGACAGCCCCAGGAACTGGTACAGTGATGCACACCTGTGATTCCAGCACCCAGAAGGCTGACGCAGGAGGATGATGAGTTCAAGGCCAACTACACAATGAAACCCAGTTTCCAAAAAATAAAAGTAAACAAAGCAGCTCTATGGCATCTGACTGTGGATGGGAGTGCCCTGTGTTTGCTTCTGGGCACCCACCACACACACTGCAGTGCATTTAGGGGCTTGGTCATGTGGGTGCCCCATCTGAGCGTCCATGAGCGCAGCTGCTCTCCTGCAGCTGCCATGGTGTCCGAGCTGGTGGTGAGGTCTGTTGGGCTCTCCGTGCCCCTTCCCTGCTGGCCCCTTGGCTCTGTATAGCAGCGCTCAGAGAGCCTAGTGATTAAAAGGCAAAGAACTCCCAGTGAGAGAGGATCACTTTGTGATTCCTATTTAGGCCTCTAAATCATCCTCCCAGTCCTCATCCTGCACCATCAGATTTGCTCTGCCAGCTGGAAGGCTTATTGAACAGTCAGATATGAGCAGGCACTGATATAAAAATAGAGGCAGGACGTGGGAGCTGGCACTGTGGGTGACTCACCGCGCAGCAGGCTGCCACAGGGCTATGCAGAC